CCTATTTCTTCATGCAGGCCTTCTCTGAATGACCGTTAGATGGATGGGTTTTCCCCCTCTCCTGTTCATTTTACTACATACAATTTGTATACTATGTTTTTTTGTGTGTGTGTGTATGCTGTAAATAGCTTTGATGTGTTTTTGTACAGGAAGTGGTGTAAATATATTAAATGACCATCATTATCTTTTCAATGTATGCCCAATTGCTATCTGTCAGCTTTTCTCACAGAAGTCCATGGGGTGACAACGGTATAGGTAAGGCAAATCAGAGCAAAATGGGTCTCTATGATTCCTTGTCCAAAGCAATTATGCTGGACAAATGCAGTCCCATAAACAGAGAACTGTCCCCTTTAAGATAAACTTGAATTCTCTCCAGGCAAATCTAATGTGCAGTGTGCAAAAATGATACGGTAATGAGTGCAATTACAAATAAGCAAATTATTAGCAGCCTGAACCCACTGATAAATATTCAGCTACCACAAGCTGTATACCTACATTTTCCCTATGAGTTGGCAGAGTTAACATTCAGCCCAGAGCTTTGTCTGAGCATAAGAAATTCAATTGGATTCAAACATTATACTTGAAGAAGCCATTCTTAAGCATAAACTCTATGTACAAAACACGGTGGCTGAATTTACATAACCTACTAAGCCAGTAGACTGGGTTAGCGTGTTGTGTCAATCCAGCCACTGTCAATGTTTATTTATTTATTAACTTTGTACACCACTCAATTCCCAGCATCTCTATGCTGCCACTATACCAGTATATACCTCATAATAAGGTTTAGGCTCAAAAGTGTATGTTAACACACCAAGGAGAGTGTTTCATCCCAGATAGGACTGAACCTTGTCCAGGAGAACACTTTCTTTGCATACATAACTCTATCAAGCATCACATCCTCATAGCAATAATAGCCAAAAGTAATTTTAAAAAATGAGGAACTAGAGATGTTCTCTTACCATAAGATTTAAGCATCAGAGAATGCTCATTATGATGGCATAGCACTCAGCTGTGTCCATCCCAGTGCTTTCAGCACTGGACTCTTATCAGGTGTCTGTGCCATGGCAACCACAGCTAAAATATGTGTTGCAGAAAACAAGGAACTGAGTTTGTGTAGTCCCTAATAAGTTTGGGGCCTGAGACCATAGGATATTACATGCGATTCAGGGCCACCTAGTCATCTTGGATATTTGGGTGACGAGTTTAATAATAAGGCTCATAACTTATAGTGAAGTGCAAAGCCATTGTTTCTTAGTTGTGCCCACTTTCTGGCTGTATGTGGTCATGTACATTTGAGGATTTGTGCCAAAACAAAGTTTTCAGCTGGACTCAATGTAGTGACCTCTTTTAGAGACTATAGGGGGACTTCTTCCAGCCCTCATAACGCAGTTTCAGACAGTCCCCAACTTCTTATTTATAACTGCCACTGGGAATCATTATTCATTAATAAGCATTGTGCAAGAGCAACAGTTTCAGTTGGACAGACTTCTTGTTATGGGATATCCTGTTTATTTGGGGGGTTAGAAAGTTGAGCTCTTTGCTTGGGTTGAATTGAATTGTCTTTTGAACTCTCAAATTAATATCAGCTGGGAACCCAAAGAACATGCACACTGCAAGTAGATGTAAGCCTATGATGGAAGTATCAGGGTCTGTCTGATCCTTCCTGAGCCAGGAATAAGATCACAATGTGATCTGCTCATGCACAGAGTGACCAGAGCAATAGATTGTGCACAAAGAGTCCTGGCTGATGAAAGCTGCCCTTTGCTCTCTGCGCTGTACTTTGCCAAGCAACAGATCCATGGCCATGAGAGAGGGGAACCAACTTGGCTTGAGAGATGATCATGGACTTCTGAGCTGCCATGCAACACTGGACTTTGAGCAGCATTTCTTTCACAGAGCGTTAGAGCAAACTTGTGTTTATTATGCTCTGCACAGCTCTTCTTTTGACTGAAAAGCAGAGCAAGCAAAGCCATTTCTTAGCCACCCCCAAAACCATTCAGAAAGAGTTAGTACCTGTCAGTTGAACTAAGAGGATATTAGATACTAGATATTTATTTGTTGGGAGGGGGGAGTGTTCATGGCTTGTTGTGGATATAGTTGGGACATATTTGCTTGAAACAGGAGATTCGCTCTGAAATTTCCATACACTTCCCAGCGAGTTGGCATCATTTATTTTTGGGTGACCACAGGTGGGGAGTGCACCTAGGATGGAGTGTTAGCCATCTTGCAAGTTGCCCATGTGACTGGTCACCAGTATGGTAGTGGTGGTGGTGTTTTGTGAGGAACCTTGAGGGTGCTCTTCTGCTTTACCCTGCACCCCTCCTCTGAGCCTGTGATCTGTCGCTCTGGTTAAAAAGCAAAACAAACAGAATTCATGCCAATTTCACTCAAGCTCCCATATATTGAACATGATGAAATCTCAAGGGAATAACGGTGTTGTCAGGAAGTGGTTATCAGCACTTGGAAGTTGCCCATTGTCAGCCCCGCTAGGCAGATCAGACCAGGAAATCAACTCCATGGGAAGGCTAAAACTCTTTTTATTCAGACTGGATACAATAACTGAATCTTGCAAGTCTGATTGTGCTGTCCCTCCTCCTCCTCCTTATCGTCCAGTGAATCAGGGAGGAATCTGTGTGAGCTGCTTCTGAATGTCATCTATGTTCTAGGCTTTAACAATGCTTAAGCCTGTTTTGCCTAGGAAACAGCTTTTGCATATCTCTATCAAGGTCATCTTCCTCACTCTCTGCATCCGTGGTGTAGGCAAAGTGGTGCAAGAGTAGGCAAAATGATGCCCCTCCCTCAAATAAAAGCAGTAGAGAGTATGGTTGCTTGAAATCTGTTGTGGCAGAAGCAGCAGAAAACTCATCTGGGACAGAAGCAGCAAAATACAGCTGGCAGAACCTGGTTCTGTTTCATGGTTTAGATCAACCTTCTTTTCTACACTAGACTGATTTTAGTCCTGTTTTTTTTCATACAACCATAGAAGCTAAGGGTAGGACAGGATTTTGGAGATCATGTGGCCCAACCCCTTGCCCAGTGCAGGAATTCATTACTACAGCATCCAGAACAGCCATCCATCCAGGCTTTGTTTAAACAACTCCAGCTGTAGGCAGTTTCATTGCTGAACAGCTCTTACCATTAGGGAATTCTTCCTGATGTCCTACTGAAACCAACTTCCTGGTGACTTAAACCCACTGTTTCTTGCTATAACTTCTTGAAGAACTCTGAACAATTCTGGCCCATTTTCTACATGATAGCTGTTCAGACAACGATCATGTCTCATTCAGTCTTCTCCAGGTTTAACCTATCCAATGTTCCTCGTAAGTTTTTCCTTCCAGTGGCTTATCATCTTGCTGGCCTTCCCCTGGCAAGCTCTTATTTGTTAGTGTGTTTCCTAAAATGTGTGCCCAGAATACGACAAGATGCAGTCTGACTAGCGCAGAATAGAAAGAAAGTGTTACCTATCATGAACCAACTGCCTAGAGTTGGTTGGGGTCAGGCAGCATCCTAAATCAATCAATCAATCAATCAATCAATCAATCAATCAATCAATCAATCAATCAATCAATCAATCTTCTATTGATGCAGCCTTGAATTGCATTCTTTCTTTCTTTCTGTCTGTCTGTCTGTCTGTCTTTCCTTTTTTTTTTTTTTTTTGCAGTTGCATCATGCTGTTGGATCATGTTTGGCTTTTGATCCACCACGAGACCCAGATCCTTTTTACATGTATTGGTGCCCAGCATAGTCCTCCCCACAATGTCCTGTACTCATATTTTTAATTATTGTTACTCAGATGTAGGGCTTTGCATTTTTCCCTGTTGAAATTCATCTTGCGGGTTTCTACCTACTATTCCAGCTTTTCAAGATTCTTGATATTACTCTCTAAAATGTTTACTACCCTCACCATCTTTGTATCATCTGCAAATTTATTAATCCTGTTTCTGAACCCCTCTAATCATATTTTCTTTCAAAAAAGTATCGAACCATGTTTTAAAAATACACAGAGACTCTTTTAAAATAGCCCTATGCATGTATATATAAGGAGCATCCTAAACACAACCAATGGGAAGTGGGAAGATTCTAGCCACAGATGACATTATCAAGCAATTCTCAATGAGATTATGTAAACTGTCCGGTAAGACCTGTGTGAGGAGGGAAGGGAAAACACCAGGCTGCCTCTGCAATGGTCTGAGGATGAGAAAAAGGCTGCAGAAGAAGGTCCTTTGTGCAGTGGTGGATACGAGAATGAGATACAGATAGATTTGTATATTATTCAGGCAATCAGAGAACAAGTATTAACTGCAACGTCCTGTCAAATGTATAACTAAGAGATCAAATTAATGTTCCCCACAGCTTCATAACATTCTCATTTTTTAAAAAAGAAAACCTGCCGCAACTGGTAAAAACTAGAAGCGCCACCAGGGCCAATCCACAGCATGAGAGCAGTGATGGTGAAGAGCCATTTCTCTCAGGTCTCAAACTCAAAAGGGATCTCAAATTTAAACACTCCCTTTAAAAAAAAAATTAAATATTAAAGTCCCTTCCTTCCTTCCTTCCTTCCTTCCTTCCTTCCTTCCTTCCTTCCTTCCTTCCTAAATGAGAAGTGATCTGGATCTTTCTGGCTCTCTGAGCAGGCCTAAGCACCACATACATATATCGCTTTAGTGTGTAGGCCAACTTCCGCCCCAACCACAGTTTTCATTGTGATGAAAATTCATGGTGGAGTGACAGAAAAGCTGAGAGTTTAGATTCAGGAATTTTGCTAAATGTACAGATAGTGGGAAAACTGGCTTAGAGTCAAAGTTTGGTGCAGCAGGAGGTGGGAGATGGAGAAGCTTGTGAGCATTGGGAAGGAGGAAAGGGAACAAAAGTAAAGCTGTGGCTGAATCCTAACAGTGGATTCTTGTGGAAAGAGAGTGTCTGCTTTTTGAGTCCAGTTTTCATTCAGGAAGCCCATTTTAAGGTGGTCCACACATTTCTCAGAATACGCTGAACTGTGATTGTATTTTTATTTGAAACTTGTTTTGTTGCTAATGTCATTCCAAAAATAAAATAACATAGATACATTAACAGAAACGCAATAAATCTCACAGACAATACAAAAGGCAAAACATATTCAGAGTCCTTTGGGTGTGGATATGAACAGTTCTTCTTGGTCTCTCTCTTTTTCTGCCCATCCAGTGAAGGATTTTCCCAGTAAACTTTGCCCAGTCCATCTGGAGCCTTGGATGGAGAAGAACACCATGAAGATGAGAAGAGCAACAATGAGAACTTTTAAATGCACCATGAGATTTGCCTTTAGGGGCAAGTAGTTATATTTGAAAAGATGTGTGTGATTGAAGCTCTTGTCTGGGCCTCCTCTGCTCCAACCCTACCCTGAAATGCTGAGTGCATCAAAGGCAATCCTATGTATACCATGTATGCAGACTCCTATACATTCCAGAGGCATTTTTTTCCTGACGTTCTCCCCACAGAACAGGGGGAAAGAGAGATGAACGAAGCTACTGGGAGTGGGGTGGGGAGAGCTTAGGGGAAGAACTTGGAGGGTCTATCAAGTAGCAACCTCAGAAAGGAAGACAAATACAGTGTCCTGAAGGTCAGACGACTGTTGGCAGCCCTGGCCAGCCCTATGTTATACAATATACAATGGTAAGAAAACAGGCTGGTTTACACCGTACTGTAGCTTGTACACTGTTGCTCTTTTGAAAAGAGTCCATATGGTAATACCACCCCCTCAACTTGGCTCAGAGCTCTTTGACGTTCATGGGAGTCCAGTGGAAAGAAAGTAACCCCATTTCCTATTCTCTGTGCTTTTCAGCTTTCCCTCTGCTTACCACCCCATGTTTAGCTGCAACCACAAGCATCAACAACCATGTCAGGAATGTCTGTCTTGATGAGGTTGCTATTGGGGTCAAAGTACAGCAGAGAAAGGGCCCGTCGCTGTGTGGGGACGCAGCAAGAATGGCCTGAGATTGGGATGTTGTTGGCTTTGACCAAATTGAAGACAGTAGTGTGGAAGGAAGCTGCCACACCAGGTACACCAGCCAGGTGCATGGGGCATTCACCCATGCAATAATTTATCTGATAACCCTCTGGCTGGAAGATCCAGTCATTCCAACCAATGTCCCGAAAATTTACATAGTAGTCTTTTCGACAGCACAAATCTGAGTTCTGGTCACAGCTCAGGCTGCGTTTGGTGACCCGATGGCCAGATTCTTTTATCTTTGCCTTCACCACCAAGAATGGTTGATGAGAGTTGCTACTGGTAGTCATCAACGATGCAATGTTAGAATGGCAGCCTTCACACTGCAACTCCAAGCGTAAGGTTTTGTCTTCATGCTCAAAGAAGCTCTGCAAAGCTGGCATCAGGGAGAAGGTATGCCAACCACTCCCTTGACTTCCCAGCTGCTGCTGTCCCAGGACCACTGGTGGCTGTCCCGCCACGTAGATCTGAATTGTGATGTTTTGGTGTGCCTTGAGGTGCAGCCACAACTGAGCCTTCAGGATGTGCATGGCTTGGCCTTTTGTATGGGTGAGCTGGAACTGAAGGAGGCCAGAAGGCTCTGAAGAGGAGAAAAGAGTCAAGGCAAAAATCAGTGTCAGCCTCTAAGCTGCCAGCCCCATACTAGAGCCCAAGTTCTTCTTCTAACAAGGTGAATGAGGATTTTTTTTTGTCCCTGCTTATTTGCTACATTTGCATTTAGCCTCATGTATGTTAATTTTCTTCGAAAACCATGCCAGCCAAGAATCCCAACAAGTTGGAAAGGCACCAGGGTGGGATGACCAATGCAGCTTGTTAGACTGAGACCATGGATTTGTCCAAGGGGCACCCAGTGAGTTTCTTAGCTCAACTCCTTCTCTCGTCTGAATTTTAAATTGAGCTACTCAGTGCAAGCAACCTAATAGTACTGTAGTAGTAATTATTGTAATTACAACAGCATTATTTCAGTGTTTAAGAAATCAAGTCATGAGTAAAGTGCATGCAAAAATAAAATAATTTCACTCATACTCTGAGCAGCGTTCAATAATTTTTCTTTTTTTTTTTGCCTACTTAGAGATATATCTTTGGTGTGGTTGGTCTGTACATCATAAAATCATGAACAACCTTACAATAATGTGCTCAGAAGCTTAATAGTTAAGTTTGTCCAGTATGTGATGACCATGTACATGTTGAGCCTGTTCGCCACACAATGTTCTATATGGATTTCCATCAGGCATAAGTACAAAAGTCATAGCAGAAATAAGTAACTGCACATACATGAATTAAGCCTGAGCACCTTTCAGCAGAGCAACCCTTAGATGAATCAGTCCTTGCCTGCTATGGATACAAAGGGTTCAGTCCACCAAGAAGCCTGACCACTGTGATGAGTAGAGAATTGCCCAAGAACCTTGAGTCCTGGGATTTGCTGGGCCAAACCAAAAAGATGAAATCAGAGAGATGGACAGATTTCTGAATTAATGAAACAGTAATCCAGTACAATGTCTACCCAACAGTGTAGAATATTCCTGCAGCTACCTGCCTTCTATATGGCTGAAGAATGAATGACAGGCAAGCTTCTTCTAAATCTGCCTGTTGGCTATCAAAGACATCTGTTTATATAAATTAAAGAAAGCAACCTTTTGGCTTTATCATTTTTTCCAGCTGCACCCCATTATCCCATCTCAGATTGCATTTTAAGCAGAGAAGACAGAAGAAATAGAGCAACAGCTGCAGGAAAGCAGGCATTTTTAAAAAAGATAATAAGTCAATATGATAGAGTCCTCAATGACTGTGGGGGAACAGAATTTATTCTTTTGTCCGCCTGGTGTTCCTGATCATATGGTTTTTAGCTTCTTCTCTTTTTTCAGTATGGCAAAACCTGCAATGATAGTATAGTATTCCCCAACCTGATGGCCACACTGAAAAAGGTAAATAGGGATTGTAGTCTTTCAACATGGTAGGGTTCCATGAGAAACAGTGCAAAAGAAGTTAACTTGAATGCAGCCAGTTTTATATCAAGAGCTTTATCTCTTGATCAGGGGTTCTGGGATTTTATTTCTTTCTTTTTTAACTAACAAGTTCCAAGGCCTCAAGAAGTTTGAAAACCCCTGGTCTAGCACGTTTGAAAGATCCAGCAGTTTGGATAATGTTAAGATAATCCCAAGGGTACATATTGCAGACAATGGAAATACGCAGCTCTTTGGGAGGGAGATGATCTCTCTGCAGATTTGAGATGCCATAGGAAGCTAGATCTGATGAGAAATTTGTAATTTGTTTCCATTCATCAGTAGACCCAAAACAGGCATTACCTTTCTCCTCTTGCTACTGATATATTTCAGCACATAGTCAGGCTCTAACCTAAACCATGGGTTAGATTTCAGGAGTAATTTGTAGCCTCTGCTCTCCAAGAATACTTTTATATGTAGCGATTATGGAGCAGAGGAATGTAAACATAAATGATCTCTAGTCTAGCATATTCAGTCCTTGGGTTACATACTTGGAAGAGCTATGGGGACTCACCTGTCTCTGCAAAACTAATGATCTCGTACCCCTGCTCATCAGACTCTGTTTTTTCCCAGCTGGAGACGTGCCCCAGCCCATCTGTCCAGGCTTTGCCCATATGTAGTCGCCGCAGGGCATTGGCCACCGCCACACGTGGCACAGGGTGGGTGATGTTGGGCCTCTCGCTCAGGTTCAGTTTCTGGAGTATCTGCTGCTTGGCTACTTCGACCAGGAAGGCTTTCTCAGCACTGGGCTCCAGTGGGGGCATCCTGCAGGAAGGACACCCTGGCTTTCCCTCAACCCAAGCCAAAGAAGTCCATAGTAAGGCCAGTGTGGCTAGAGGAGTCCAGTTTCCTTGGAGGCTGTAGGTAGAAGCCATGAAGCATCCACGGCTATGAGTAGCAAGATGCAAGGAAGAATTATGTTGCTAGGTAGTCTAGTGACAGTGCCTGGAACTCATGAATGGTGCCTCTGCTGCATCCAGGGTGCTTGTATCTTATCCTTACAAATGGCAGTCTGCCCAGAGTCCAGGAGAAGACAATGAGCTCCAGCACCTTTGTTACCTTCTTGTAGCCAGGACCTGCTGCTGGTGCCAGGACAGGAGGATTTTCCCTTAAGAGATCTCAGTTCATCAACTGACTATCCACAAGTGTCAGCCTCAGCATTTGTCATTCTGGCAGCCTTGATCCTGCCCTTTGTCCCTCTGTGATTGGCTGGCTGCCTTCTAGTGCCCAGAGGGAGGTTTTATCCAGCTGGGGAGGGAATCAGAGTTTAGTAAAAGAGTGGGAACGGGTCCCTGGGGAGAGGAATGACTTGAGGCCCAAACAGTGAGGATGTGAAGGGAGGTGTGAGTGCCCTTTGCCCCAGATGGAAGAGGGGTCCATGGCTACTGAAATGCCATAGTATTGTGAGCAGGGATGGGGGAAACTTGGCAGAGGAGGGATTCACAGGAAAAACGGGTAGTGCATGAGCCTTTTTTTAATTTAAAAAAATCTTGCTGCCATGTACTTCATGGTAAACAGTACCTTTGGGAGCAAATAAGAGGACTCTTTTTAAAAAAGAATGACTAACATCAGGTGCAGTTAAGGAGCACCTTGTATATATAATGAATGTAGTTGTGTTCGTACTTGATACGTTTCGATGTCTGTGGAATGCATGACAGGTGCACACCTAAAAAAATAGCACTTAAAGAAGATCACCACTGTTCCCCCAGTTTTCAGGAGCTACAAAGCCTTTATCAACTGCTAATAAACTGGGTAGAATGTTAAAATTCCACCTCTGCATTTATATTATATGCATAATACCAAATGTGGCTTCAAAGCGCCTGTTTTCATTGGGATCACACCACCTTCTAGCAACCATCAATCATCTCAGGACAGTCTATTTGTCTTTTTCAAAACATGTTCTTTAAATGTCATGCCTCGTGTAGCTTTTTACATCAGGTCTGAATTAGGCTCCTGGCTTGAAAATCCAGCTTGGAGCAATATTGCAAGAAGTAGAGGAAAAATTCTGCATTAATTCTAAAGTCGTTATCTTTGGGTGGAAATTTTGCTGAGCAGAGGGAGAAAAACAAACCGTTTAGTCCCAAAATGTTAGTAGATTGACTCTACCTCTTTCCAGAAGTGCTAGTAAACTTGAATTTTCTTTAGCCGATAAGATCAGTGGTTTTGTTGGCTGGAAATGATGGAAGCTGTCATTCAATATACCTGGAGAGTATCGAAGTGGAGAAGGCTGCTCTAGTTACCCTTATCCATTATATCAGGATGGGGAACCTGGACTTCCAATGCCATATCCCAGTTTTTGCTGTCCCCTAGAGACCTGATCCATATTACCAAAAGCTCACTATGTGCATTTATGCCATTTTTAGTTGGGAAACACACCAAAGAGATAGCACAAGGCCTGCAACAGGCTTAGTTAAAACATGAAACAGTGAAACAGTCCCAAACTGCCCCAATAAACACAAGGAAAAAGCAGAAAATCCCGCACCCCATAGCATGACATTTGCATCATCACCCTGCTCACTGCTGTCCTTGCCCTTTACGTGAATATGTTTCCCCTGTTGCCAATGACAAGGTGGCCAACCTTTGCACCACACTTCATTAGCCAGCCAGAGAAATTGGCATTCACCTGTGAACTCTTACAGTTCCCCCATTTTTCAGAAGCTCCGAAGCCCTTATCAGCTGCTAATAAACCCTTGATAAGCAAAAGGAAGGAAGTTGGACTGCAAGCATTGAATGCTTTGCCTTTCTATATGGTGACGTCTGGCAGGTGCAACGTTTCTGGGCTGCTCAGGGTTCTGCCACCTTGAGAGATCAGCTAAGCTTTGCTCAGGTGCCAAGGTCCCTCGCATGCTTTTTCTGTAACCACATCCCTTCCCCAATCCCATAGATGATGATGTGGATTAAGAAACATACTGCAAAGCTAACTTCAGAGTCATAACCCTGGCTGCAAAATTTTTACGGAGTCTGGATCTTTTCCTCTGTTAATTTACCCCTGGCAGCCTAGGTGCTTTGAGTCCAGCTCTTATTCTACAAACACCCCTGTTTTAGTCATGACATTTTATGGAGGTCCAGACATTATTGTCTTCCATTTGTAACCTTCCTGTGTTCTCCTACTGTTTTTTTCCTCCATCTTTCTCTTTAGTAGAAAAAAAATCCAAGAATAAATGGAAATGGAATAGCCATACAGTCGCTTTGGATTAGTAGCACAAGGAGTCATGTGTTTTATAGCACCACAGTGGTATTGTGGGTCTCTAAGATCCTTTTCACAGTATCAGACTTGAACAGAACCCAACTCTTATTGTGTGGATAGCAAAGGACTGGAAGCATGATGACGTGTTATCTTTTCTATCTTACGCGTTTCCCATCTGCCAGGGTTTTGCAATAGAATAAAGAGAAAAATAAGGAGGCTTAGACAAGCGTCATGGGAACAAGCAGTGATGCTGCATATAACAGATGAGTAAAGGCCTCGGAAAGAAGTCCTTGAATGAATAGATTATTCCCATCACATCCCATGATAAATAAAATTATTCTTGCAACAGAGTAATAGAAAGTTGTTCAATAAGTTGACTGTTGGTGTGGATACTCATGCCAGGCAAAAACTCCAGGGTAAATTCTGTCTCCCCCCCCCCCCCCACAC